GAGACACTGGAATATTTTATCTCTGGATCTATGTTTTGAGCAAGAGGGCTCCCTTCAAGTCGTCCAGCACCTTGATGTTTTATGTTCTATTTCCTTAAAGCAACAAGAAACAATTTAGTCTCTTCCCAGTAAGTAAAGGGGAACTCTTCCAGTGGACTTCAGTTTCATGACAGCATGGCCCCTACAGTTAGAATTTCTGGTTGTGGTTTTTGAAGCTGAATGTGCCTGTGTTCCTTTAGGCTTTGGGAAAATAAATGGGTCTTGATAAGGATGGGGCTGCATCTTAGCTGCTGCTTCTCTGAGGAGAGATGTAGATGCTGGGAATGGCATGCTTGTCTTCCTTCCTCTCTATGAATTACACTTAGCTGACAGTGTCTCACACAGCACCTTATTATCCAAGCTGTCCTCCCACCTGTATTGTATCTGATTGTGGGTCTTAGTCATGCAGTCAATGAATAAGCAGTCTGAATGGAAGCTTGAGCTGTAGGAGGAAGGGTTGTGGAGGGCCCCATGCATCCGCCAGTGCTCAGCATGGAAGTTCTTTCCTTCTGTGTATGTATGTGCTTCTGAGTCATTCAGTAAAACCATTCAGGGATCAATGCCATGGTCAATCCTATAAAACAAAGCATGCTACAACATTTAAGCAGCATTAAAAGTTTGGTTAAACAGGGAGGGAATGTTGAAAACCCAGCTTCTTTTAAAGCATGCACAAAGGGACGTGAAATAGCAAATTCAGAGAAAAGACTGCTTTAGTGATGAAAAACATTTGGAATTGTAAAGTTGAGTAAGACAGCCTGGTTTTGTCAAAAAATGATAAATTAATCAGAGAACAACTTGTCTATGTGAGAACTAAGCATGAAGATTGCAGGAGTCAGCAACCTTTCCAGATCAGATTTTTTCTTTCCCAGACAAAGGTTAAGTGTGCAGGTTACATGTCTCCTGGCTGTCGCTATCTACTAAAATAGGAAATCTGTGGGGCTCAAGAGTCCCTTTTTGCACTGGGGCAAGGTCTGTTTATAAGCACAGCTCTGAAGGCTGCTGCTGTGGGCTGGTGTGCCTCTGCTAATGTGCCCCATGCACCAGGGAAGGGCTGGCCAGGTATTTTTCATCAGGTTAGCTCACATGACAAGGCTGTATCTCGCCATTTACACTGACTTTTACTTCCTCAGTGCTGCTTGTCATGCCAAACAGCAGCTCCAAACATCCATAACTCATCTCTGAAGAAAGCAGAGACATAAGGAGGTCTTTCTGCCACAGATTAATGTGAAAGGCAGCACTTGTGTGTTTTGGCAACAGTTGTACAAGAGATTATTACAAATTCATGATTTAACAAAGACATACTGATTTATTGCTGCCAAAGGGACAGAGAAGTATCATAATTGCACAATGCCTTAATTGCTTAAAGGAAATGCAAAACTGTGGCTATAAAGGAACTAACCCTCCTGCACACGTGTGTTCACATGCACACATGCCATGACAGTTGCCCTTGTTCTCTCCAAGGGATGCTATTCCATTTCTTAAGAAACAGTGAGAGATTCAGTGGCCAAGAAGTTGGTATCAGCCCACCTGCCAGTCTGTGGAAAATGCAGAGTATTCTGCCCCAAGACTAAATGTTCTTTTGCTGAGAAGGTAGAGGAGCAGGCATGGACATTACCATCTCACAGCTTACACCTACCCAACTGTTTTTAGGGAACAATTAATCATCCTCTTCTCCTCTTCTCCCTCTCAGAGAGCACTCAGTGCCATTACTGACAATCAGCTAATATGCAGTGTGATTGATTCCCTTTTGGGGGAACTCAAATGAGTTTCTCCCACCACACCAGTAACATCAGTCTTGGTGTGAGATGACTGACAGCCTGAAGGAATACAATTGCAAACCATAAGCAGGCAGTCCTTTTAGTGAAAGCACTTCAAATAAGATAACCACGTTATGAATGTCTCTTCCAAGAACTGAATTGTAAAACCACAATCGATTACTACAGTGTTAGTAACACTATAAATATAGCAACCAGATGGTCCCTTACCCTAGTCAAGGGCTGCCAGGTACCATGAAGGACAGGTAGAAACAAGAATTAAAATACAACATCTACAATATGCGTGACCACAATAACGCTCACATTTTTAAAGGTTAATAAGAAGAGGCATTTAAAACCTGTCCTATACAAATAACCAAGGTCAACCACTGATGTCTTCTAGCAAAGCCACTCCCCATTTTAAAACTCTACCTATTTTCTGGGCCAGGATATATCACAAAAAGCAAAGAGACGAAAGCTGGATGTCTCACCTGGGAGCATGCTCTGAATCCTGGATGCCTTCTCTTTGCTTGTCGTGTATGAACCCAGGAGCTCAGCACTGCTGGTCTGTTCCAAGGACAGGATTTAAGATATTGTGGAAGCCTTCAGCCCGACATCTCCAGACTTTTCAGCATTTCAGTATACTTCCTTAATAATATTTATCTAATACAGCTTTTATTTGTGCTATTTATACTGTCTGAATTTCTAAGGGTTCATTTCCTATAAAGAGCACGGGAATTAATTCTCTTCAGTGCTGGTCTTTGGCATGAAGGATGTGCCAGTCCAGGCTGTGGCCCCTACAGGCAAGTCTTCTGCGGGGAGGATGCTTTGTTTACTTTTTCCCTGTCTTTAATTATTGCAGTTGTTTTCCAAGGAAAAAAAAATCATCCCTGCTGAGCAGTGAGCAGACCTTGAAAAACAAACTTTTCCTTTGTCCTTATGGAAACCCCAGCATCAGATCTGATCAAGTATGATGGATTTCGCTTAAAGACAAAAGTTCATCAAGGAAGAAAATAATCTGTTTTTTAGATTATCCTTGTCTTGCAGAGAGGGGGCAAAGCTCGGAAAGGATTTCCCAAAGGTTATTCCTGCATGAAAGGCTCTTCGCTTCCTTCTGGGTTAAGTACGTGTGTAGGCATTGCTCAGCAGAGAACATATGTGGCCATGCACCTCTGAGAGAAACACCAGGGCCAAAAATCTTCAGAGTTCTTAGGAATGTGAGGACAAGGAGGAAAATGCTGCTTACCTCAAGAAGTAATAGGAGCTCTCTTGTGTGTGGACCAGAACAACAGGCAGCTGTGAAGGAAGGGGGGTGCCTTGGTGTACCTTTGAGTAGCTTTGAGTTTGCTTGTTGGAATCTACTTCACTAGGGCACTAGCGAAGTAATTCTGCTGAGGAAAGTAGGAATTGCAATTGCATCTGTCTCATGCTTCAGAAGTGCAGAAAGGCCCTTTGCTTTACCCTCTGGTCAAAAATCAGGCATAGCCAGGGAGCAAACAAATGGAACCAAGATCTCACTGGATGCAGAAGACTTGTATGAAGAATCTGTGAAGGTTTGAGCTAAATTTTTGTCTTTTTGAAGTCTGAATGACCAAAACAGTGTTTTCAATGCAGTAACAACCTGAAAACTAATAGACTAATTTCCGCCTGGTTTCTCCAATCTGATATTTTCTCCAAGGCTAATCAGATTTTAAAGCAGTTTCTGAAGAGCAGAGTGTAGATGGAGGGAGCTTGCACTATGGGTGTATTCTACAAAGAGCAGCCTTTTTTCTAGTTTGTATTTTCAACCTCATACAGCTTTTGAACAGGAGTCCTTGTACACAGAACTAAGCAGCTGTCTAGTTACACATTCATAATTTCTCATTCATATTCTTGATTCCTTTTAACTTGCATGTGGAAATAGTCTCTCGGAGCCTAACCCAAGTCCTGCTGGTGTCAGTGAGTGTGGATTTTATTACCCCTCAAATTTAGCCATCTAAAATCAGATATGTATTCTAAGTGCAACTGTGGAAGAGCCACTTGCAGTCAAAGTCAAGAAAGATCAGCATTTCAAGGGCATGATTCCTACTATCTGCCTGAAAGATTTGTCTGGAGAGGGGACATGTATAGTTGTGGCAGCAGCTGTCTCAATCCAAGCTTATCAAGGGAGCCTGCACAACTAGCCTACAGGAATCCTCACTTTTAGATAAGTGAAGTCAAGGGAAAGAGTCTTATGAGTTCTTTTAATGGCAAAAGATTGAGGCTCTCTTCTACAACTTTTACAAGGGGATAAATTACAAACAAGAAAGCAACGTCCCAGAGGATGTCTCAAGTTGCATCCCACAGGTTGCTAACTTTGGCCTCAGTCAGTATTTGTGATGTAAGGAAAGGACTTTAGCACTTTCCCAAAATAAACTTCTGAAGAAAAATAAGCCTTTTTAAAGTTGTTTGTAAATTGCATCATAGTGTGCTGCCTGACAGGCAGGGCAATCTGATAGAAATCTCAAAGAAAAGGCAGGAGCTTTTCGTCTGTCTTCTCCAAAGATACACGCTGTGGGATATATGGAATATCAAGAATAATTAGACAAAACTATACAAGCTCCTTGCAACACTAATGTGCTCTGTAATTAAGTATTTGCCACAAAACTTTAAACATTGTTTGAAAGCTGCACGTTAAAGGTAACCTGAGTAATTTTTAAGTATTGTTTCCAATATATTAATAAAGACATGGATATGAAAAAGCAGAAAACTGTGAAATACTGACATGCCTATGCTGATGTAGGCTGCTCATTTTCTCCTTTCTAAAGATGATATATAGAAGTAATTGATCCCTCTCCTACAGCAATTAAAGTGAAAAAGGCAAATTTCCTGTGCTCTTCATCTGCTGGAGCCTGTTTAACAAGCAGGCAAAGAATTATATGCCAGTATCAATAATTCACAGAGGCTGCAGAAATGTTTTTTTGGAAGGAACCTCTGGAGGTCTAACATCCCACTTGCAGCAACACCCCCAGATTAAAAGGAGAAATAAAGCTGCAGGAAATACAGACAAAAATGTCCTTTAGAAATGAGAAATAAATGAATGCATAGAAAAAGAAGGAGAAAGGAGAGAAGAAAGAGGAAAAAGAAATCAGTTTTTAATAAGATGTGCTAATATTAGAAGTGTAGGATTTTTGCCAAAACCTTTTTTTTTTTTCTAGGTTCACTAACAGATGTGTTTTTATCTTCTAGGAAAATGATGAGCAGGAGGAAACCTGGAAGCTTTCTGCTGTGCTGTTGAATATGGAAATATAAAAACTTTTTTACCTGAAGTATCTCTGTCCCCCTTTCAAATGGACTACTTCTGAAGTTAGAACTACCTGCTACCCAAAGCAGCCACTTTTCCTTTCACTGTGCATCCTGGAGAGGAAAATGAATTTCACAAATTGTACCACTGAAGCCAGTGTGGCTGCAAAGCCAAAAACTGTAACTGAGAAGATGCTTGTCACCCTGACCTTGGCCACAATCACAACCCTGACTATGCTGCTGAACTCTGCTGTAATCGCAGCCATCTCCACAACCAAGAAGCTCCACCAGCCCGCAAATTATTTAATATGCTCGCTAGCTGTGACAGACCTTCTTGTTGCTGTCCTCGTCATGCCCTTGAGTATCACTTACATAATGATAGATAAGTGGACTTTGGGATACTTCATCTGTGAGATCTGGTTGAGCGTCGACATGACCTGTTGCACGTGTTCAATTCTTCACCTATGTGTTATTGCTCTGGACAGGTACTGGGCTATCACTGACGCCATCGAATATGCCAGGAAAAGAACAGCAAAAAGGGCTGGGTTGATGATAGTCACCGTGTGGACCATCTCCATTTTCATATCAATGCCCCCTTTGTTTTGGAGGAACCACCACAGTGTCAGCATCCCCAGTGAGTGTCGCATTCAGCACGACCACGTCATCTACACTATTTATTCCACATTTGGGGCATTCTACATACCCTTGACTTTGATCCTGATCCTGTACTACAGAATCTACCACGCTGCAAAGAGTCTCTACCAGAAGCGGGGCTCGAGCCGACATCTCAGCAACAGGAGCACCGACAGCCAAAACTCCTTCGCCAGCTGCAAGCTCACACAGACGTTCTGCGTCTCGGACTTTTCCACCTCTGACCCCACCACAGAGTTTGATAAAATTAATGCATCCGTGAGGATCCCCCCTTTTGAGAATGACTTGGACCTGGCTGGTGACAGGCAGCAGATCTCTACCACGCGGGAGCGAAAGGCTGCTCGCATCTTGGGACTGATTTTAGGGGCTTTCATTTTGTCCTGGTTACCCTTTTTCATCAAGGAGCTTCTCGTGGGCCTCCACCTTTGCATTGTCTCTCCAGAAGTAGCAGACTTCTTGACCTGGCTGGGATATGTCAACTCCCTCATCAATCCTTTGCTGTACACAAGCTTTAATGAAGATTTCAAGCTGGCCTTCAGAAAGCTCATTAGGTGTCGAGAACATACTTAAAAGCACTGGGAGACGATGACGATGACATGACTCCTGGCCTTAAGAACGAGCAAAATAATTTGACTGTTGTCATTTCCCTTGACAAAGGGGATTTTGATGTTTGCCTCTTTGCTTAACTCTCTTCAGCCAGTAATTTGTTCTGCTGTTTTTTTTACCACTGGTGTTATTCACGGTAAAAATTTGAAATAAATTTATTCTACAAAGGAATGGATTTTTTAGCAATGAAACAAACAAACAGACAAATAACAATAAGAAAATATTAGATATTCACATTTAAGGCATTTTGTGTAATCAATGATTCAAGAAGGAAACAACAGTATTCACATTTATTTTATACTTTTTTCATTTAAGAATCGAATGTCTAAGTGACGTGCACTGTAGTAATATGAAGGCTTGTAAGCTGAATCCAGAAATTCATGTTCAAAAATTAATAAACTTCATGGTCATAAACTTTACTGTGGCATTTTGAGAAAACTGTAACCGTTTTTTAGAAGGAAAATAAGCACCATTACAGCAGAATAACCCATTCTATTCTTATCCCCACCGAAATGCACTACCGAAACAGAAGGCAAAGTTCATTTAATTCTTTCTAAAAACAAATCTCATTTTGTACTCCAAAGTAATAATTTAAATGACCTTTTTTTTTTTTCCCCCAGTTTCCTGATTTATGTTAAAAGCGTTGGACAGAAACTGTGCAGTTTTTCTGGCAACTGAGAGAACAAAGCTAGCAAGAGTCACACTTGTAAGATGAGCTGCACACCTGAATGATCACCTTTTTAATACTGCTGTTCAATACCACATTCCTTCAGGGCTCAGGCCATGTGCCTTGGTCAATTGTGAGGTGGCATTATCCAGTTTTTCCCCACTTCCCCTGGACCCTGCAGTGCACAACACCACGGATCATCAACCTTAACCCACAGACTCAAGCAGCTGTATGTTTTCTCAGCAGGTCAGTAAAATACAGTGTTCAGAAATATCATCTGGAAAAAAAAAAAAAAAGACAAATTACTTTGTTTGAACTGCAGTAGCAGAAAAGAAATAAGGAAAATAACTTTTTTAAAATAGCACACTTCATCTTTCAATATGTAACGGCATTCTTATCACTTAACCTGTGATCAAACCCTCTAGAGGAATTTCTTGCCCTGGCTGTTCTCCAAGGAGTTACTTCTCTCATCCAGATAGAGTCCTTCATATCCTTTCTTCTGTGTTTATGGAAGCTAAAATGCCTTGGCTCGTTTGGAAATGAGGCTGGGGAGAAGCAAAATCAAAGCTAAGAATCTGGCACTGCCCATTAGTAACTCCTAAATACTGATGAAATATTGATTACTTATCTTGCTACACAATTTTCTTTCCTGTCCATTTTTTTCTGGACAAATTCTTTTTGAATTAAACCAACATACCATATAGAAAATATCACATATATCACCGTGACATGTAGTAACTGAACTACAGCATGGCAGCTCTAAATCCATCGAAACAGATAACAGGCAGCAAGAGCGTTGTAACAGCACTGGAAGCCAACTCTGGAAAATGTTTTGAAAATTTACAACACAGAGTCATTTTTCCTATCAAGAGTCCAGAAATTATAAGTAATGTGAGTAATAAACTCTGGACGGAGCTGAGAAATGACATTCTTGTTTCTGAGGGAAACAAGGGTTTGGTTGGAAAGATGCAGTTCTGCAAGCTGAGTGTAAATCAAATCTGAGGGTGACAAAAGCATGACCTACTGCTTACCCACATTCAGCAGGACTCTGCTTCAAGGACTACAAGTTTTCCACACCTGGATTTAGGAGGCTTATCTCCAGCTGTCCTTCTGAAGCTATTGTCACTGCTGTCACCTCCATCTATCTTTGGTTCCCTGATAATTAGCATTAATATCTAAAAAGAGGGAAAAACAGTCATCTCAACCACTGAGGATGTCTTCCAGTGGGGAAGCCCAGAGATCCACTATGATTCTTCATTTTCACAGTTTGATGGAGATGGAAACTGTCCACTGAAGGTGGGGATCCTGCCTGTAAAACTCCCAAAGCAGCCTCACAGAGTACATGTTCTATTAGGGGAAAAATAACCAAATGCCCAAAATGGTGAGGGTGATCTCCAAAATAGCTGCTACTGGTAGGGAGAAACGCTTCCAAGAGTGGCATGAAAACTGTAAAACAGACAAGCTGCATGATCTTCATTTCTACTTAAGACCTTCATGTATCTGATCTCCACTGTTATCACTCAGGCTACCAATCAGTGTCAGGTTGAAGACTGTTTAATTTTAATATCTAGAGGTAATGAACAGGGGAAAAAAACAGATGGATGGCTAATTTTTGTGCTTCCTTCTTAAATACTCAGCATTCACTGTCAGCCGACTGCTGCTTTTGTAGTTCAATCATCAGTTAAACACAGAGCTATGTTTTCTAACAAATGTCATTAGACTGATGAAGATGTCTTTTATGTTTTCTCCACGCACAAAGCCAGGAATAGCTTAAAGGACATTTGACTTACAACAATTTAACTTGATCAGAAATTACCTGCCATCTGATGGAAATAAAAACCTTTGCTAGTCCGGCACCATTACTTGACAATCTCATTTTTTTTTCCACGTTAAGAATTTGTGGATTTTATGAAAGGTTTAGACATTTTCCAAGCTTAGACTTCTTTTCCATGGAAAATCCCCATTTATTCCCATCCTGGGTTAAGCGACACCGTGGCCTGCAATGCAAGCTCTTCTCAGCAAATTCCTAATGAAACATCCAAGGCCTTCACCTGACATCCACTTTCCTTAGCCACTCTGAAATATCTTTTCTCTCCAAAGTCTCATTTTCCCTAAAGATCCCCTTACTCCTTTCCTACCCTTCTTCCTATCATCTCCCTCTAAAGGTCTCTTCCCAAGCCCATCACCATTCTCAACACAGGCTACATATACTTTCTTGTATAACCCCTCCTCTCTTCATTCCTTTATACTTATTTCCTCTTATTTTACACCCCCGATTCCCCATCTCTCCATTAAGTTTCTGACTCTTTAATCCCCAAATTTATTTTTGTCCTCCTGGAGCAAGGCCCTACACTCTGCTTCCATCTTCTCTCTTTCAGTGCTGCTATCAGCATTCTCGTGAGCTTGAATATTCAGATCAGCTGCTTTTTATCATCTCTTACATGTGCTCCACATTTCCAGAGCTAATTTTCTCTATTTAAGCAGCCACTTCTTTGGAGCAAGTTCATATATCCCTAGTCCCAATAAGCTCCTTTGAGAACGGGGGTTCTCCACCACAGTGATGCACTCAGCTATTTGAAGCACATGAGATTTATGTTGTTGATCTTCCTGTATGCAGATGGACGATGGAATTGAACTCTCCAGAATAATTTAAAACAAAGTCCCTGTTTCACTAAGTGTATACTGAAAGGGCTGTCACTTTTTGCATTTTACTGCCACGTGAACTGTGCAGTTTTTCATAGATGCTACTTCTTCTTTTTTTTTTTTTTTTTTTTTTTTTTTTTTTTTTGTCACAAGATGCTAAATGAACAAAGGAATCTTTTCTAATGGCTCTTCATGCTTCTCCATTTTCAACTCCAGTCATCAAAAAGTAAACAGGATAACAGGATTGCAGCACTGGGAGGAAAAACAGGCCTCCAGCACAAGTGGAGAGATTATTCTTGTGCCTTGTGTCCTTTCATTAACCATTGCAAATATCAGTGATGGACTGTTTGATGTTCATCTTTTACACACCCAAATGATTTGTATGAGAAATTATCTTAAATTGCTTTGTTGTTTAAGTGGACATAGATATTGTGATATCTTTTATTGGTGTAGCCAATATATTACAAGTTGTATTTAATAAGAGTCACATGCAACACACATATTACCTTTGTAACTGCTATCTGTTTACTTTTCAGGCCAAAAAGAATAAAATTTTATAAAATGATATGAGTTTGGATAAATGCCAGCTTTATCAGCTATAAAAATACTCCTTATCATTTTCTATTTTGTACCATGTACATAATATTGCCAGCATTTCTCCCTTATTCCTCTACCACTGCCAGGGGGTTTTTACTTTTTCATGATTACATGTAGATGATTTTATATATATTGCCTTCAGTATGATGAAATTATTCCTTTTCATCCAGTCTAAGCCAGACATTTGCTACTTTTGAATTAAAATAAACCAGAAATTATAGCCTGCCATGCCTGTCAGCCCTGGAGAACAACGTACAACATTCCACATGGTTTAGCGTGGCCTTGCCCAAGTGTACAGTCCTTGCATTACAGATTCTTCCTCAGTGTGTGGGGGAAGAACTCCACTTACTTCCACGAACATTGAATCAGCCCTTAAATGTAAACTTTCAGTGCTGCTCCTGTAAGTAGAAGAAAAAACCATGAGTAACCTGTGCGGGGAAAAAAAAACAACCATATGCTAGCAAATGTTATGAACCTCTGCTTAAAAGATAAAAGGTTTTTTTTTACCATTTTTTCCTTTTTAATCACTTTGATTTCCTCTTCATTTACCATTCAAGAGCTGTATGTATGTGGCACTAAGGGACATGGTTTGTGGGCATGGTGGAGATGAGCAGACAGTTGGACTAAGTGATCTCAGAGATCTTTTCCAACTTTAATGCATCATCTATTCTATGACTCCCTTGCCATTCCTTTTCCCCCCATTCCTTATCTGCCTTTCCTGCCTTGCCTTTCCTGCCTTCCCACTACAGCCTTTCTCTGAGCCACAGTGGCATCAAGTAACCTGCAGCAAGCAGCAAGGCCACCTTGGGCTGTGCTAACACACAACATCACTATGCTCTTAGTTTTAGGAATTCAGGCTGCAGACACTGTTCCGTGGTACTGCTCTGCACAGCTTCTGCTCCCATTTCATTGCAGCTTCACTACCAATCAGATGTCTAACATGCATCAGGATTCTTTCAAATGAAGGATACTAAATAATACATTATGGTGACTTCACATGCACCATGATTTTTAAGATCTCTTTTTAATTATTCGCTCTCTACACCTCTTCCAGGGGCCTTCTATCTATAGAAACTACTCCCATGGCCAGTATAGCCCCCAGATGCCATAAGCACTGTTGGAAATGCTCCCCTCCTCTCTGTGCATTTTACCTTTTTCCAATTGCTGGCACTGCGCTCTTAAAATACATTAGCATATAGATCAGCTCTCTGAAGTTTTCATGGATTAATTTCCTGCATGACAAATTCTCACCCTCATTTCTGTCTGGTGCAAGGTCCCACATCACTGGAGTACTCAAATCTTCTGAAGTACTACGACTGCAATACTCATTTCACATATAACATGAGTGCAGATGGACACATTTCCATGAGGTGAGGCACAAAGCGTTGTCTCCTTGAAAGTGCACTTTATAAAAGATGCATGTTTTGTCAATTAAGAAATGAAACATAACTTCTGAGAAGAGGGAGGACTGAATTCATACTCCTCTGTAAACCACTGGTTTGAACACAGTCTGAAATGACTTCTGACTACTGATTTTAAAGGAATAC